ATCCTTTATCTACCACCACCAGAGTTACTGCTCATACTCATACTGCTTTTGTGAGGGCTAGTCAGGGCTAGTCACAAAAATAAATTCCATATGAAGCATAACTTAATTCTTAAAGCTTAATTCTCCTGCAGTTTGAACTGCATCCTTGCCTCATSCACTTCCATACTGAAACACAGAGCGATGCTCCTTTCACATGCACTTGTCAGCAAAACACTTTGAGCAACTGGCTCTCTTCCCTCTAATCAGCMTATTTATATCATCCTACTCAATACATGGCCTTGCTGGACTAAACTGCAGTCTTTTTAGTTTCACTCATATAATCATGCTTGGAAACTTTCTGCATACAAGTGGAATCATTGTTTCTTCATTTACTTGGGAAAGAGTATCATTGTCCCTTTTGGAGAGTTCTTACACATTTTAGGATTAATATCACTGGTAATGTTATTTTTGGAGAGATAAAAGGTCCCCATTTGCAAAAAAAATGTTCAACTATACATATGTAAGATATATATATCTATGTAAGATACATATATACATATATATTTAAAAGCTATTAATGATATCATCTACTCCCAAAATGTGTATGACACAATCACATTTGAACCAYGCATGTAATGTGTAATTCGCAGTGAATATAAGGAGACTGATTAGCCCCAGGTTCTATTACAAAGTGTAGGGAAGTCTTCCATAAATCACATGTGCCAAGGTTATCATTTATCCCAACATTATTAAAACAACAGAATATCACAGTAGATGGAGCACTGAGTTTCAAATTAGTCTGGCGTACAAATTAGTCCTGATTTTCATTTCACTTGCTGCATAAAGGTTTGCCTTCAGCAAGCAGAAGTGATAACAGGTGACTGAGCTTGTACACTGAGAGGAATTATGGCTCGGTAGAGTTCATTCAAGTAAGATATTTTGCTTTTGTTTCTATTGCACATTCTAAAAGAGATAGTGTGCAAAGATTACTAAGACCTGACCTGCCACATTCACAGCTGGCTCTAAATATAAGTTCACACAAGGTACCCTCACCACATGTATAAAAATCCACCCTCAAACTTCATAGACTTTTCATAGTTTAGAAAATGAATCCAGATGTTAGTTGTCCTACTGGCTGCAAAGAACAATTAATTGCAGGATTACTTGGTAGTCTACTAAATTAAATTCTTGGGCAACAGGAGTCTAGTTTCAGATGGTTTGGAATTGATTTGCTGTCTCCCTAGGAAGGCAGGCTGTCCTCCAACCTCAGTCACACTCTACAACACAACTTGTGGGGAAAAAAAAAATACAAAGAACAAAAACCCATAAATCGTGGGTTAGGCAGCTTTCTCATGAATAGCCCAACTGCCAGGGAGGCACCCAACAGATGTACCCTTCCAGAGTARAAAAGTCTCCAAAATGTGGAACTTGAAGAGCTCTTATGATTGTGTTTTAATTTCCTTCTTGTTTTTTTTTCCATAGTGGGAGGACAAAAGCTTATTAAATTTTAAKTCTTAAATTATTAAAATATATATAAAGCTTAAGTCTTGATAATTGATAATTCTTGATAATTCTTGATAATTGCTACAGTTCTTACTCTAGATACTGCTGTGTATACTTACATACACGTTTGAGGCCAGATCTTAAAAATATTTTTGGAACTGAAATGCTGAGGTACCATGCTGCAGAAATGGTAGAAAATATGCATCATGCTGTGCATGTTTAAGCAAGCAGTTTATTCAGAAAAAAAACAAACGAACAAACAGAGAGCTACGTTTTCCAAGAAGAATTTGTCTAGWTGGGTATTGTACACTTTGTTTACTGGTATGGCTGAAAGTTATTTAATAGGGTAACAAGCAGCTGTTCATAGGAGCTATATTATAGAGATGATGGTAGAGCTGTGTAGGAAAAAACGACATATGAGAAAAGGGCTAGCACTTTCTTGAAGTATTGTATCATTCTTTAAATAAGTTTTTATTGACATTTAGTTCATTAACCAGATGTATAGCTCACAAAAAAGTGCCAGACAGTGCTATTCTGCTTAAAGGCTATAGCTCTTAAAAGCAGTGGGAGAGGCCTGAATACTCCAGTTTTCCTATCTGATCGACAGAATTCTTTCCAAAATCCAGATTTAGTCCTCACATACCATTGCAAAGACTGGCCCATCCTGACATATTTTAACTAGTCACAGGCAATAAACCTTATAGCAATATCTGCAATGCAAAACTTTTTACTGGTTTGCAGCTTTAACGCAAATACAACTGCATGGAGGAGAGGTTCCCCTGCATGCTCATCTGATTGTTCTTGCAGGTTCAGTGTGGTGTAGTTACCCTGAAAGATCTATTCTAATTTCACAAAAAAAATCTCAGTCAGAATATTTATGAAATATTTTAGCTAGACTTCTGTAAGAGCTAAAAATAGTAGACAGTGAGAGTAGAAGTGCATATGGAATGAAGTAGAAGGAATACAGAATATTCGCACTTAAAAAAAAGAGTATAATTGGGGGAGTATACTTTTACACTTACTCCCTTAGTTCACTTCCACTTCATGTATATTTGTTACTAAAATATGACTGCCTCTGTAACTTATCCTCAWAACAGCCATAATACCTTTTTGCTCGACTCATTCAGAACTGATTCTGAAGCTAAACACTTCAATCAGCATGATGAATTGATAAAGCAAAATTATGAGGAACAATCATAAGGCCAAAAAAAGCCTTTGTTTTTAAATAATTAAGAATATATACTTTTTTAGTCTTCTTGTAACATTAGCAATCAGGATGTGGATCTGATCCCAGCTTCAAGCTAATGGACGTAATGGCTTATGGTAGCTTATGGTAGACAAAAAAGCTGTCTGATGAGAAAAGTATTACAGCACTGAACTGATAGATATATTTATTGTCAATATAACATATGCACACCAACTATCGATTTTAGGCAGGTTCTTTCCCCTGGATAAGCCAACAAGTTTCTCCAAATTGTGGAGCAAATGATCAGCTTTATTTCCATTCCCTTAGCATTCCTCAAGCACACACAGCACCACAAATGGTCTCTGTACTCTGCACCTTGTGCTCCACAGGAAGAAAATGAGCTGATCTTCATTTGAAAAAACTGAGAATCGTGCTAACTCAGGAGCTGGRTAAGTGTTACCAGCAAAGGAAACTGCAGTTACTGGAATTTTAGAGCAGTTATTTCTCAAACACCTCTGCTACTTTCAGCCAAATATTAATTTTCCAGCATATTCAGCAGAACTACCAACACTGTCAAAATCTATTTAAAGCTGTACTTCATGTGTTATCTGCCATTTGCTTTGCAAATGTCAATGAGACACAAATTATTTTTGCCCCATCTATGGCTACTCTTAATATCGCAGACTTGAAGTATGCATATATCTGTTTAATTTCTAAGGAYAGAATAGTACATGTTGATTTAGGAAAATGAATTCCTTAGAGTAGAACACTTCATTAATCTCAGTTTAGAAAATGCACAGACTAACATTCCCATTGGGCATAATGCATAACATGCCTCAATTTCATAGAACTGCTTTCAATAAACTGGTAAATAGGTGTTCAGTAAAACAGTAAATAGGGCAGCTACTGCCAAAGRTGTATTAAAAGGTAAATATCTAAAGGCTGGCCATTAATGGATATACTTGGGAACAGTTATCACATTTTCAGTTCTTATCTTTAATTTAGCATAGATAAGGCAAGTTATAGGTATGTAATTTTTAAAATATCTGATCAACATAATCTCCGTTTCCTTATGATCACCTCATCCTTGGAGAAAATCAGTTCCCTGTGCCAAAATGTTCTCTAAGACTAGTTAGTCAAGTGGAGTTAGGGAGAAAATGCCACAAGAAAAAGCCTCCAAGAAGTGATTTTTACCATCCAGAAATCCAGTATCAATTTCCAAACATGGTCATGCTTGGAAGGTTAAAAGTATCCCTTAGTAATGCAGCATTAGGTTAGCATTAGTTTAGACTGTAGGTTAAGCCTACTTTACGTACATAAATAATAGGCAAGTTTTCACTATTTTGATCATTTAGTTTTCTTAAACTGATCACATAATCCTTAGATAAGGCTCTGGGGCACAGCTTTATGGTACAATAAATACATACAGAGTTCAAGCATGTAATCATGGAAACATTAAAAATGTGGACAATGGGTAGCAAGTTTTGCCTATATTCTATCACAACCAAAGCAAACAAAATATAGAATTTCTCCTCTGTTTAATATAATAACATTTATATATGCTTAGACAGAAAGAAGTAGCTAGCCAAGTTGCATAAAACTTATATGGTACACAGAAGCTGGCTGTAAAATCTTGTGTAAAATTTTACATTGCTTATGCCTAGATGACAGCTTTCCAGTTCCAGGCCATAATCAATCACAAGTCTAGATCCCTCACACTATATTTCTGCAGTCCGATTACAGTCTACTGTAATCGTATTAAACTCATACGAATACTCTCTAGAAATAAATCAGACCAATTCATGCGTTCAAACTGGATATCACTAAAGCATCATTTAAATCAAGGCTGGTCACACAGAACATGACAATAAGTATTTTCAAGCTTTTGTTCCACGCAAAAAAAAAAAAAAAAAAAAATTCCATTTGTTTCAATATTATGGATTGAAAATGTCAGGCAATGAACATGTTCAGTAACTTTACAACAGGAAAGGTCTCATGAAATAAAATTTTAAAAATTAACCCACAGAAAAAAGATTTTTAGGAACTAAACCATTTCAAAGTCCCTTATCTCGAAGGATAGCCATTAACGTTCAGTAGAATAAGCTTGAAGATTTAATTCAAGTATTTCTATTGTGTGGTGGAATATGAGAGAGTTAAGGTTCCCGGTGGGAATTTTGTATCCTGCCTATTACCAATACCACCCTCTGCAGGAATGGAGCACAGGAATGGGGAGGACTAGCTGCAGGGCATGCCAGGACTCAATCCAACAGCTCTGCTTAGTCAACATGTATATATAAAGTTACTTGCAGGTAAACTGAGGTTATCACAGTACCTCAAATGTCAGCGGGGTACAGATGATGCTTCACACGTCCCTCAGATCAACTGCAAAACGTGACCACCTCCAGCCATCCCAGCACCTACACAGAAGCAGGAAAAACAGAAAACAGAGGAGTTGAGGCACAACACAGGTCATGATGGAGCAAAAACACAGTACTGGAGCTGTAAGGGGTGTCCCGACAGTGTCCTGCATGAGGAAAGGCCGCCTGAGGAGAGGCCACRCGCCGGGCCCGAACAATGGAGCCACCTGCGGCGCTCACTCAGGCGGCCACGCGGCCCGGGATGCTCCCGGCCTGGCACCCTGCCCACCGCAGCGCCCCGCGCTAACCTTGACATTAAACCGAACCAACACAGAGTTGAGGGGCCAGGAGAAGACACGGAGACTGATCAACACTACTTTTCTGCATACATCTAAGATATAAACCAGCTGGACTGGAAGAAAACTCCTGATCACCAATGACAATGTTTGTGCARGTAGTATTCGACTCATACTACTTTAGAAAACAAAATTTTAGCATAGTAAGCTATAAGTTGCTAACTTCGATAAAGTAATACTTCCTTCTCCTCTGAAATGACAGTATGTAGAAGTCACAGGAAGATGGCAAGCCGTTAAAAAAAAAAAAAAGTACAAAAAAAGTACAGCATTTGCTATGTTCAGAATTCCTAGGCATATTTCTAACCGCCACAGTTGGCAGAGTAGCATTAAAAAGATCTTAAATTAGGAACACAAACACACACACACACACACACACACACACACACACAAGTTCAACATAGGAGGCTGCTTTTTTCCAAAGATGGAAGGATCCATTTTTCTAACTCAAAAAAAGGGACAGATCCAGGGAAGAAGGGAATGCGTTTTTTTCCTTTTTTTCCAGCAAAGTCAGTAACGTAAAAAAAAAAAAAAAAAAAAAAAAAAACTTAGTTGGTTCTCAGCACATAAGCAATGACAATTTTGATGCATAGATGACTGATTCACCCTGCCTGAGCAGGAGAGCTGGTCTCGATGATCTCCTGAAGTGTCTTCCAACCTCAACCATTTTGTGACAAGAGTTTTTTTCAAGAAGGGTGCTTGTTTGTACTACCAAGAGTAATTTCTCTGATCTCCTTGTCAGCTTTGTCAAGTATTTTACTAAGTTAGCTACAGTGCTGACAGCAATGGAGTAACTCACGGAAATGTAGTTTCTGTTGGGTGGGACTGTGAGACCTATGGGACACTAAAAAAAAATCGTATCTCACAATATCAGGCTCAAATAACCAGAAAAAGGAAGCAGTCTGCGGAATAAACATAAATAACATGTAGTGAAACGTTGTCTACATTGAAACTAAATGCAAGGACCACATTGAACTAGGCTAARGTGGTAATATTTTAAATAAGTGTTTTCCTCGATGAAGTGCTAGAAATGGCTTAACAAAGAGGCAGAAAATCTGAATTACAACCATAAAATTTTCTGCCTTGCTTATGTATTCTTAATACACAATCAGATCTCTAAACAACAAAGAACTGAATGCAAAATGTAATAGGTTGAGAGTGAAAACTTCATCATATTTCTCAGAAGTCTTCCTTCATTGCAATGGTAAAAGGTTAAGTGAAACCTCTAATAACGTTTAAAAAAAGCAATAGAAATAAAAATCATCTAAACAAAAATCCTTGAACCTTGACTTCTTTAAAAATTATACATACATCAGCAAATAAGAGAAGGTATTTTCCAGGCAAAAGCAAAAAAAATATGCAACATCAATTAAGGTTAAAATAAGTTATTCTATGTGTTCTTTGTCAAAGTGAAATCTGTAAGCAGGCATCTCTCATGATTAGTATCATTATATAAGAGGGCTGGATAATACATTACACAAAAGGGCTTTACAGCATAAACACAAACACACAAGTTCTCACATTCTGTTTTTCAGAAAGACCTTGCTCACTTTTTGTAAGGTTGAGGGTCTTATTCTTGTCCAATTTATACATAATTCTGTGAGGCCTCTAACATTGATTGGATTTGTGCTTTTCAGAAGAACTCTTAACCCCACAGAAAAATGACTGACAAATAAGCCACAATTCTCTTTTTCAACAATGAAGGGGCAGCTTTGACTGCAATGAAGTAATAACATCTAAGGCAGCTGTTGACTGAAATGAGCTAACAAGGACTACTGACAAATTCCTGTTTCAAAACACTTGGTAGGATATTAGCAAGTGGAAATGATCTCCATGTGACAAAATCAGACTCCTACTACAAAAGCAAAGGGAGAAAATATTCCAGTAGCTTTTCCAAGATATTTTGAAATCCCACTCAACAGCAAAAAAAGATTTAGCTACTTGAAGGGCAACAGAAGGGAAATGTCCTAATTTCAGTTTACCTAATTGTACTCGGAACATTTTGTTTCACTCTTGGTAGCAAGTGGTGATAGCACGCAGACCGCATGCAGAGCCCGTGCTCATTTGCAGGGCTGCAGCTGAGGACGGGCCACGCAAACATGAAGACAGCTGTATTTGTACTTGGCTCTGCCACGCCAGTACGTGTGAGAGAGGCAGCACTGCACATAGAGTAACACGATATATGTTTATATGGCAAGCAGCCACTTCCACTGATCTTGGAAGAACATCATCTTCAACAAAAGAACATAGTTTTGTATGAATAGATTACACAAGTGGTTTTTTTTTTTTTTTTTAATTCTAATTATCATAATGAACTCATGTGGCAAATAAAAGGATTGCAGCACTGAGTTAAAACAGGGACTATTCAGGACTAGTTTGGCTTCCCGAACTTATTAATAGGCTTAGTTCTTTATTGGCATTTCAGGATTCCACCAGAGATCTGTGCCCGTTAGATCTCCTTAAATGGCTCACAAACTAACCTGCTAGAAAAGGAAAAACTGGAATAGTGACCTGCTCCCAAGCATGCCAACAGACCTTTTGTCTTGGCTTTTGTCTAAGTAAGGAAAGACCCAAACTTGTAAATCCTCTTAAAAAAATATATATATATATATATATGTATGTATGTATATACACACACACACACAGAGTTTCCCAACACTGCTCTGCTGTCAGTTTTAAGGCAGACAGGATGCAATTCTCCACTGGGTATCTGTCTGTGCAGGCATCTTCTCCCTAGGGAGAGGSCTGACCAAAACTAAACCACCACTTAGCTTGAATGTCTGGGATTTACATAGGCTTCAATGCCCCTGTATGCACTCAYTACTCCTCTCATTAAATCCAGTAAACCTTTCAAGGTTTAAGTCTTTTACTGGACCACATTTCTGTTCTTACAGATTTGGCAATCTTTGCCTCTTTGATATAATAATAACCAGAACATTTTCTTAGCAGCATTAAGCTGAGTAACAACTAGTATTTCTTTTGGCATGCATAGTTTTATGTTTTGTGCTGCATTATGCTTACAAATATGTTTTTGGACAGGATAGCTTAAGAGGTCAGCACTGCAGTCCAAGGCCAAATACAGGGATTACTACACTTTCATGGGTCACAAAGAAACCTGCATCATAGAWACTTACTTAGGTAAGTATCTAGAGATGTAAGTGGCAGGAAAAACAAAGCACTACCAGTTGAAACTCTGGCTCACATCCTAACTGCATAAAATGAAAGTTTTCCTGATAAATTAACAGGGAAAAACCAAGTACAACCGGAGGGGGAAAAAAAAAGTATTATGGAATTACTGCAGCCAGATCTCCCTGAAGCCAGTTCACACATTAACCAATTTCAAAAAAGCAAAGAGCTACGGATGTTATTTAAAGTCTGGGACACCTTTTTATAATCAAGATAATCCCTCCCATTTTTTTTTTAAAGAAAAAAAGATTATTCAATTAGTAATAACCTACATGAGGGAGAAGCTACTGATATCAGATTGCTTTTTAATGAGGCAGGAGATACACTGAAGAATTAAAAATAGAAACACGGAAAATAAAGAAATAAGATTTCACCATCTCTCCAAGCAATTTATCCCATTGCTTGACCATCCTGCCTCTAAGTAGCCTATTCCAATATGTACTTCAAGCCTCACTTGATGCAATTTAACCACTTCCCCTCTCTCTCTCTCTCCCCTTTTTAATTTTTCTTCCTTTTTTTTTTTTTTTTTTTTTTTTTTTTTTTTTTTTTGGTAAAAAGGCACAGTCCTTTGACTATTCAAAGGATATTACACTTGCGCTCTTCTGTAAATGAAATAACATCAGTTCTTTCAGTCAAGTTCTCTGGACCTCTGATCATTCTCATAGCTTTCCTCTGGACTGTCTCCAGTTAGCTCAAGTTCGAAATAGCTTTGATAAAGCCTCAGAGAGAATGCTAAGCTGAAATGAGTATTTCACATAGTTGTCTCACAACTTTGTACATTCTGCTATATTTGTCTTTCTGTAAACAAAAGACACTGTTGACTCAGGGTAAACTAGTCATCTCTTAAAAGCTTCAGATAATTTCTACAAAACTGGAAGGCCTAGGTTTTAAATATTATTCCTTCTCCTCTCATCATTTCCCATCCCTTTTTGATTATATATTTAAAAATATTCAAATAAAACACASAGAAAATAGGAAAAGGAGGAAAGCAGTTGTTTAATTTTAGCTAAAATGAAAACTACTGCAAGGATAAGTGGAACCGGAAAGAAGGGAGAAGAAAACATCTTTCCATAAGGAAATAAAGAATATCAAGAGAGTCACCTAGTAAATGTATGCTGCCAAAGTAATCACTACTCTAAGAAAAAAAACACAGCACATGGATGGATTTAGCAAAAATGTTAATACAGAAACCTACAAGCAAACTTTACTGGATCAAAAAAAAAGCTAATGACTGATCACCACAGCGGATGAACAGTTTAGAGCTGAACAACATGGAACTTAAAGCAAAGAGATACTTAAAGCTGAGAGATACAAACTTTATTTTAATCTTACTGGTATCTTAGTATGCAACTTGGAAAAASTTACAGCCGCTTGTGCTCATTTTCTCCCTACTTTTGAAAATGGTGTTATTAATACTTTAGGAAACAGCTCTTGAGGACAAAAAGGGAGATGAAGTAAGTTTGCTATTATTACCTTAATCTCCATCACTGTTACGTTTGAATGTAATTTCGCCATTAGGCC